CCCCCCCCCCCCAATTCAGTTTAAACTGTCTCCACAAATTCTCATTAAGTACAAAACCTCACTTTCTTTCCACTGACTAGCTCCATCTATTAGGTCTGCCCTGCCGGTTTCATCCAATAATTACATWTAATCTTGACAAAAACTCCAGCACAGAATTGTAACATTTTCAATAAGGTAAATGTCAGATGAAATACGAAATGAAAATTTAGACCGAGGTGGAAAACATTGTATGTTTATATCTAAACCCCAAATAATAAAAAAAAAATCTGATCAGGCTGCAAAAACAAAAACCAGATGAGAAAAATAAACTTTTTCAAGTAGTGTGAAAATAGCTGAGTTGTATTTTATACTGCAATGTGAATAATTGTTACAAATACTGACAAAACATTGGGCTCCTTGGCTGAATTTAGATTTTTGCGTACAATAACCATATTTTGCTGTGCTGGCAGTAAAGGTTGCCAGGTAGCACCTACCAAGATGGCGGCATACATTCTTGTCTTGTTATTGTAAACTGCACAGTGGTTGGTCTTTCCAGTGTATTTTAGTAGTTGTAACACCTTCATCACACTTTCCTCCACCCACTGATCGTTTCAGCTGCAACAATGCAGATCTGCAGGACGCCGTCTCAAAACGACACAAACTCACAAACGTTCACCTCAGATCCAGAGCTCTCCTTCACTCAGCGACTGCACCGGATGGCAATTAGCTGATCTAAGATCCAGCTCTGCAGAGTCGAGGATGCAATTAGCCTTCAAACCGAGAGTACAACTCAACCAGCCACCTCTTCTTCAAAATCTCACCGAGGGTTTACTATCAAACAAAAATCAATTTTCTGCGCTCTGAGAAGTCAATCCTGTGACTCTGTGACTGTTTTAACTGCTAATACATGAGCCACACTGACTGCTTCCTTAACGAAATCAAGCTTCAAGGTTGAAAAAAATGATTTTTTTAAAAAAAATCAGGCCAGTGACAGTTTTCACTGACTTGAGCCTCCAAAACAGTCCAAAGTGGCTCAAATAATATTTAGATCTGGTGACTGTGCAGGCGACGGGAGATGTTCAACTTCACTTTCATGTTCATTAAACCAATCTTTCACCAGTCTTGCTGTGTGTACTGGTGCATTGTCATCCTGATACATGGCACTGCCTTCAGGATACAATGTTTGAACCATTGGATGCACATGGTCCTCCAGAATGGTTCAGTGGTCCTTGGCAGGGATGCTCCCATGTAGCACAAGTACTGGGCCAAGGGAAATGCCATAATATGGCAGCCCAAAGCATCACTGATTCACCCCCATGCTTCACTCTGGGCATGCAACAGTCTGGATGCTTCTTTGGGGCTTCTCCAGACCGTAACTCTCCCAGATGTGGTGAAAACAGTAAAGGTGGACCATCAGAGAACAATACACGTTTCACATTGTCCACAGCCCAAGATTTGCACTCCTTGCACCATTGAAACTGACGTTTGGCATACACCTTGTGTGAAAGTCCAAATGACAAATAAAGACTCTAATCTAATCTAATCTAAATGGCAGAAAAGAAATCTAATTTTACTTCTTCAAATTTTGTTTTGTTTATAGACATGGGTACAAAACAGAGTTTTAGCTTTAGACTTGAAAGGAAATTTGACCAGTTTTGGGGCATTTTACAGGGGACAAAAATTAATAAATCTGTCAAAAAATCTAATAATAATGATAATAATAATAAATTAAATTAGTCTTAAGACCCTTTACAGTTTTTTAATAAAAATGTGTTTAGTAGGTATGTAAATCGGCAGCATTATCACAATATTTTAGATTTTTGATTTGTTTGGATGACAATACGGTGCTTTGTATCACAGTCTGTCATGATACAATTTCGATTCAATTCACAAGTCTGCAATATTTATGAAGCAATACCATATGACCATCTAACAATCATTTAGTAAACAATTATGTTAGATGAACATGTGATGATGAAATGTTTATAAATTTTCATTTTTGCCTTGATGTAATTGAATTATTTGATCAATAAATCATTGTGGATAGAGGTTTTTTTATTGAATTTTGCTACACCCCTTGTTTAACAACTATTTTTTCTTGGTACTGTGCTTAAGTGTTGTTGGAACAGATAATAAAGAGCAAGACAAACTGTAACTATATCATAATCACACAACTATGCATTTATTTTAGAAACTACAATGTAAGCTCCTCCAACTACACCAGTGTGATGGGTTAAAAATAATCAGGTGATGTTTTCACTGTGTCACTCTTAAAAAACTAATTTTACTTTAAAGGCTTTTAAATGTTCGAATGYATCCGATCTTATTTGTTGCCCATTTGAAATAAGCGGAAAAAAGATGCATTTTATCCACACTGGCATCAGATAATCTGTCATTAAATAAAGCAGGGGTTYTGCTGGGCCTGGATGACCCCTTCCAACCAATACTCTGAAAATGTTCAAGCCCAGTTCTCCTCTCTTATCCTGGATTAGTTTATTCTTCACCCAGTCACAGTCCACAGGAGTCTGCAGAGTTGTTGCTCTTTGGCAACTCTTTGTTTATGTTAAAGAATTTCTGAGTCTAAAGGGCCCCCGGCAAGTTTAATCTTCAGGAAAAATACAAATGCTCACAAAACTCTGCCAGTTTGTTGATCTTTAAGTTTTTGAGGTCTGCTTGAATCAGTATGCACTTTGATTGTAATAAATTGTGGCTTAAAGAGACAAACAGGATGTAAATATGTCCTAACGGGGGGCTCAGTTGCACAAGTTTGTACAACTTCAGTGACAGAGATGTGACACTCACCCAGCAGCAGCAGTTTCACTTCTCTCTGCGACTTGACTTTTTCTTCTTTCAGGTTTTTGTCAATCATTTTAGACCTCTCGGCCGCAGCTTTATCTTCCTGACTAACTGTGCAGCCCATGGTTCCCAAAGCTCGCTTCAGCTCTGCTGTTTAACAGGGGGGAAAATACCAGGAGAAAATAAAAATAAAAATAAAAATATCACGACGAAGTCCGAAATCGCCCCCCTCTCTGTCTGGTTTATCAACAAGGGCTGAAGTTGAGTAAAACGACTTCCCTTTTTGGCGAGTTGCGACAAACGTGACGGAGTCCGTTCATGAAGAAGATTTATCTTTTAAAAAATCTTTCCACTCTGTGAAGAAAGTAAAAATAAATTAAAAAAAATCCACCTTAAAATAATTGAGTAGCTCTGTCAGTTTAATTGACTTTTTTCTAGTCCTCACAGCGTATCATCAGAGCAGGTTAAGAAAACACAAAGTTCAGCGTTAAAAAAAAAAAAAATAAAGTAGTCCAGCTGTTGCAAACCGAGCGTACACATCCCCCAGCTGACAGTCAAGGTAGCGGACTCAAAGCACCACTTTTCAAGGTTTTTAAATCGGATATAAATTACTTGGTCTTAATCCGAACAGCCGTCGCGAATCGTTTCCCCGTGTAGAGATTTATAACGTTTGAAAGCCACACCCGCAGCCGCCGCCGTGAAGCTCCCCACCGCCAGACAAAACATCGACAGAGAGCACCGCCGCCGCCTCCCATCTCAGCCGCTCCCTCAGCGARCGGGGCTCCGCTCCATTTACACTCCGGCGCAGTTCAGGGCGTGCCGAGCAAGCGGAGTCTGCACAGCCAGCCTCGCTTAGATCACGGTTAAAGCTGGTGTTATGCACGATCTTGTTGTAACAGGCCTGATGTACATAATTGTGATTTATTCTCTCTCTCTCATCTTCTTATTATTTTCAGCACGTTGTCATAACCCCGTATTACCAGCTGGTGGCGCCAAATTTCCCAAGCGCTATTAGCAAGAAGAAGAAAAAAGCCGAAGAAGAATTAGCACACTAGCAGCAGAGGGAAAATTAGCTTCAGTAGCAGCAACTAGACTGCTGAAAAACACGGTTAAACTCCCCTGTAACGCTTCATTAATACTTTAATTCTTACGGGAAAAAAATGTCATTAGAGATGTGGAAACAGCAGATCAAACAGCGACTGGATGCATCCGTGGAAGACATATTGGGGATTTTCGAACAAGCTGTAGCAGAATATAAACAAGAACTGTCGAGTTTAAAAGCCGGTGAGTGACAGCAAACAAAATCTTACACGTTCTTTGCAACATAATTGTATTCAAGTCTTTATATTTTTTAATTCGTCCTGACAAATATTCTTATGTTAGACACAATTTAGGTGCCTGTTTCCGGTGGCTAATGGGTCTAGCTCGTGTAGTTAGCATGCTAACACAAACTAAAAACAGCAAGTTTTAGTGATCTTAAAAAAAAAAAAAAAAAAACTAAGCATGGCCCATATCTTCAAAAATAAAACACAAGATTCAAAATAAAGCATTAAAAATTGCATCTGAACCACTAAACATTGACAAAAAAGAGTAAATGTTTGCCACCAAGAGGATTTATTTACTGAATAAAATTTTAAGCAGCTCATTGAGGTCATTTGCTCCCTCACAGTAAAAGCCTTCTAATTTTCAGCCACACATGAAAGCCTTGTTCCTCTTAGAGCAGTGGTTCCCAAACTTTTCAGCTTTTGACCCACAAAGTAAAAGAAGAGACCTGTGCCCACCAGCTGTTGTTGTTGATAAACATTGTTTTCACATTAAATAAACAAGAACATAGTAACATTATTTATGACATTATTTTTGTCAATTTTAAGTACACCAATCTTACTGTTTTGTAACAGCAAAGGCAAAAAATGTTTGTCATTTTTGGGTGTAATTAATACAGAAAATATTTTCAGAATCCCACCTTGATGTTTTAGGACCCCACTKTGGGTCCCGACCCCAACTTTGGGGTCAAAAGTTTGTCAGAGTTTGTCAAAAGTTTTCCAAGTCGGGGGGAAGATCCAAGATCTCCTCCAGTATAAACTCTGAGTCAGTTTAGCGAGGCTGAGACTGACGTAATCTCATCTGATCAGCGTTTCAATCCCTGGTAAAACCGTGACAGCAAATTTCTGTTCAGTTTGGACTCGTTTTATGACAGGGATAAGTGCCAAAAGGCTCTAGGAGTGATCGCTGAGGAAATAAGGCCTCCTACTATGATCTTTGTATTGCATTTTTTTCCCTAAGCTGATAAAAACCAGATGGAACAAGGTCAGACATGTTGCCTRAAACCAAAAGTGTTGTCAGACTATTAAAGAAATGTTTGCAACAGACTTCATTTGTTCTAAACAAGAACCAAGTCATTGTTCTGTTTGTTTAGTTATCTTCTTGGAGTTTGTCATAAAGAAGTTTGTCTTAAACCAATTTAGTTTCATAAGGTGGAGTTACAGTTGTTCACAATGCACATGTGGTTCAATGTTCCCTGCAGATGTTCAGCAGATGATGCTGATTAGTGAAGGAGCTCCAGAAGAACTGGGGACCAGTGCGGACCAACAGGACCCAGAATACTTCAACATAAAGAATGAACAGGAGGAACTTTGGACCAGTTTAGAAGGAGAGCAGCTCCACAGGAAGGAGGAGACTGATAACGCTGAGTCCTTCACTGCTGAAGATGGGAAACCTGAGTTCTCACAGCTTCATCCAGACCGAGCTGTTCCAACCAGCAGCTCAGGTGACCAGGTGACAGCAGCAACTGGGAGAGGAGCAAAAACCATCTGGAACCAAGATCTGAATACTGCTGAAGACGATTTAAACTCTTCAGAGACTGACGTCAGTGAAGATTATCAAGATGAGCAAGATGCCGACGACTCTGACTCTGGACAAAAAACTGGAGACGCGGACATGAGGACGAGCGGCGCTCCCGAGTCAGACGATTTCTTTAGCTGCTCTGAGTGTGGTAAACAATTTGTCCACAAGGGGTCTCTTCAGAGACACATGACAAGTCATTCAGTATTGAGGGTTTCAAGTTGTTTTAATAAAGAGAAAACTTACAGAGTGAGGAAAACCGTAGACCCGTGCAGGGAAGTCCAGACAAGTCCAAAACTGTTTCGGTATGATGATCGCGGCGAAAGATTTACGGTAAAAACAAATTTAAACGGACACTCGAAGATCTACATGGAGCAAAAACCGTTTGCTTGCGACGTTTGTGAGCAGAGGTTTAAAAGTAAGGCCAATTTAAGCCGACACATGAGAACCCACACCGGACAGAAACCGTTTGGCTGCGATGTTTGTGGACAGCGATTTCGAGACGACACGAACCTAGACAGACACATGAGGAGTCACACGGGAGAGAAACCGTTCATGTGTGACGTTTGCGGACGAGGTTTTAAGGATAAGTCCACTTTAGGCAGACACATGAGGATCCACACAGGCCAGAAGCCCTTCGGTTGTTACGTTTGTGGCCGAACCTTTAGCCAAAAGACACATTTAAACCGACACATGAGCATCCATACAAGACCGAGTGTGTTGTGATTTTGTGGACTAAGCTGTAGCAGGAGGAGGAATCTAAATCCACCCAAGAAGCCACAGAGTAACGAGTCCTTAAACACACGAGAAGGGAAACTGTGTAATTGTGAATATTAAGACAAGCTAATGGTTTTTGGTGAATGTATGTCTAGTGTAAGAGTTTGCCAAGAAGTGGAGTAGTTCTTAATATTTAGATACTTCTGTTTTTTTGTGCCTTGAAATTAGTATTTTATTCTAGAAAAGACGTCTAAAAAATACATCGTTTGCACATCTTCAGCAGTAGAAGACCTGAATCAAAAATGAGATGCAGGTTTGAAAAACAAAACAAATAATCTTTGAGGAATAAACTTGCAGATATTCTGAATGTAGTTCTGTTTAAAGATCAACTCCGAAGTTAGTCATTTTCACATTTTTTCACAAAAAAATTCAGGTTTCCAGAAATCAAGTTTAAAAAAAAAGTAATGTTTCTTGAGGGTTTCAGGCAGCATCAACGTGTRGTGGATTTAAGATTTTCCATCTGAATAAGATTTTGTTTGCATGTTTGTTTGCAAGTCATAACAATAAAGTTTTTTGTGGACGGTCCAGTTTGGGTGTTCTGAAACCTTTACATGTTAACTAGTGAACACAAATTCTGCCTGCTCTTAATGTCAAATGCTTGCACTAGTTCAGATTTTGGGCTTCTGTTGTGGCCTTTTTACTGATTAGAACAAGTTCTGGTGCCACTAGTTGATAAAACAGTGTTACTGGTAGGGCAGTTAAATGCACAATAAAATAAATAATAAAGAAATTAAGTACAAATACTTTGTTACTGTACTTGAGTAGAATTTTTGGGTATCTGTACTTGAGTACTTATTTTTCAGCCTACCTTTTACTTCTACTTCTTACATTTTCACACAATTATCTGTACTTTCTATTCCTTTATAAAAAGCAAGAAGTAGAAAGTTGTCACTTTTATTTAATTTTTACTTGTTTTCATCCCAGCTTCTTATTTAGAAACACAGTATTTCCACCTAAAGTCATTCCATTTATTGGCCCAATGACTATATAAGAGGCTGAATTGCAGTTAGTCAAAAACGTGCACCACAGCACTGGCTGCTAGCTTAATCATTAAAAATAAAAGAACTGTACTTAAGAAGTATTTGTATTTCATGAATTATGTTATTGCATTTGGCCACAGCCCTCAGATAGATTTTCATTTTGGGGAAAAGGTTTGGGCACACTTGATATTTGTATATAAACTGAAACAGATAGACTAGTGCATCCTAAATTTAACACAAATTAAACATTACTGTAATACATTTCTGCATTGTTTTGGGGAGGTCACCTCTTAATAAATGTCTACTGAAAATCTAACTGCTCATTTTAAATCAATACTTTTACTTTTAATACTTAAGTACAAAAAATATCAGATACTTTGACTTTTACTCAAGTAATATTCCTAAAGGAGATTAATTTTTACCAAAATAATTTTTTGGTAAGGTACTTGTACTTTTACTCAAGTATCTCTTTGTGGTACTTTATACAACACTGACAAATGGCGTGCCACATGAACATTAAATATCAGGCTGTCTGTTCACCCTCTGATAAGTTTTTGGTATGACATCTACAAAATGTTTTTTTTTTATTTAAAAGATAAACTTATCAAGTTTGTCACCACCTCCAGCAGACTCATGAGGCACAAAAAGAAGCCTCAAGATGGAAAGTGATGATTGTGTTTGGAGGAAAAATCAGGAAGAGTCGAGTTTTTCCTGATCTCTTCTTTTTATTATTATTTTATTTCCCCCCCTGGTTGTAGTTTAAAAATGTTAACTTTGTTTCATTGAAAATGCTATGTTCAACTGAAATGAATCACAATAAAGGGAAAACTGAATCCGGAAATGTCAACCCTTAAAGACCCATGGGCAACATCAAACCGGAGAACAGCTTTTCAAGGTAGTGACCGCCAGGGGGTGCTAAAAGCTAAAAAAAATTGTTTAAATGCATCATAAATATAAATCCGTTTTTTCATTATCTCAAAATATGTGTAATAATATATTAAAACGTTATTTTAAAAAAAGTTTGATTTCTTCTGTTCTTATTGTCAACAGTTCATTAGGTTGGTTTTTCAGTGAGAAAATAGCACAGTGCTTAAATCATGTTAATAAAATTATGCTAAACAAATGTAATATTTATTGAATAGTAAATAAAAGTGATAAAAATATTCTAAAAGTTTATGTTTTTTTCTTTGGGGTCCAGGCCAGAAGCTCTCATTAGTTCGGTTTCTCTCACAGCTCTATGGTGCCATCGTGTGGACCTTTGCAATCTTCACATCTGAGTTTTTATTTCAGTCATATTCAATACATTGAAGAATAAAGTCCAAAATAAAATTAACAAAATATTTGAGTTTGAATCTAATTATTTCAAGAAATTTGATAATCCAGTTGATTAAAAAAACACTGCATGAATGAGCTGAATGAGTTCTGTTACCTCAATATCTTTATTGCAACATCACTTACAGTACAATACCTGTCAGCAACATATTAAAATATAGAAAGATACAATAAAATAGACATAAACTGAAGGACAACAAGATTTAAAAGCACTTTGAAAATGAATACATTTATATTCTTAAGTGGACTAAATCTTTATTTGCTATTTACACTATATAAACTATAGATATAGAATATAAAGGGTATACATTTATATACAGTATTTATAAATGCTGGCTGTAAATATTTAATATGTTACTATTCAATCACACATACTCAGAAATCACATTGAGGTCCTCAGAGATCATGTTTGTATCAGCCACTTTATCCCTGTTGTTGCTCGGTTTATTTATTTATGTATTTTTTGCATTTTACAAGGATATGTCTGTGTGCACCAGTAGGTCTTTATTTTCTTATTAATCTAAAGCCTGTTTGTACATCCAGAGATGAAACAAGTTAGCTGAACACCAAACATTGTGCTCCAGTGGCTGATCCAGATAATTTCTCTGCACACATAAGGTCAAAATAAAAATAAAAAATAAAATAAAATAAAAAGAGTAATGGCAAAAAATGTATAAAACAGACTAGACAATATTAGTTCACTCATGCAGAAGTTTTGTCATCTGGCGTCGGAAAACTTATCATGAAAAATAATGAGACGTAGCCAAGTAAACCAGCTCGCTGACAAGTTAGTGTTTGTGTCTGCAAAGAAGCAGAGAGGAAGACAGACATGACCATCGAGGATAAACCACAAGGAGGCCGGGGAGTCAATATGCAATTCATGAATGAATCAGATTCATCTGAAACACCCAAATCAACATTAAACACAAAGTTCATCGTCTATCATCAGCAGATAGACGTTTTACATTAGAGGAAGGTTAAACAGCAAAAATGCATCATTTCATTCAGATACAGGAATACAAAAACACCTAAACAACCTCAGACAACACATACAATATTTCAGTTATTGTATTTCATGAGCAGATGAGGAGTATATTTATGATCTTGGAGGCTCAAAAAAAAGCTCTTTTTACTCAAAATATTTCAAATAACCTTCGACAAAAACTGATATGTTACTAACACGCTGTGCTGCTGTTACAGATTTAGTCATACAAACAAGTCACATCTTTCATTTGCTGTGTTTCGCTTCGCAAACAGAAACACATGATGTTGTGCTTTTCAAAGGAAAAGTGCTATAGCTAACCGCCAATGCTTTAAAGATTAAAAAGTGTACGTCCCGCAGCTGAGACAGGCATTCAGTATCTGTCGCGTGTTAGGATTGAAGCTTGTGCTGATATTTCCAGTCACATTTTGGAAGCTGACCCTGTTGATTTTATTTTATTTTATTGTATTTTATTTTATTGTTTTAATACATTTTGGTTAAGTCTGAATACTATCACCAAACATCTAGAAGAAACTCATCAAACCTTCCAAAGACAAATGGCAAAAAACACTGAGAAGCTCCTGTTCTCTCTGCATGGCAGGTGTCTCTTTGATTTGTGCAATCCAACAGATGAGGTCCTCAGTACCATTTTATTGTTATTTTTTCTGTTCTTTACAAAATAAAACTAAAAAAAGAAGAAATTAAACCATTTGCACAATATAGGCGTTCTTATTCCTGACAGCGTTTCCAATTGTTTCTGGCTAAAATCTGCTTCTCAGATAGATTAACATCAACCGTCAAAAAAAAAAAAAAAAAAAAAAAAAAAAA